ACATTTCATTATGATTTGTCACGTAAGCCTCAGAGGCTCCCAAAATTATGCAGACTTTTACCATTCGTCTTGGTTACCCACCAGAACTAAGTAATAAGACCCTTTTCTGATGATACTGGGCACTTTCATCACAAAATACAAAAGCGTCACACTAGAACTGTTGCTGGCATCTTGCCCCTGCTGACCAGCTTTCATAGCCCCACTGTTAAGAGTGCTGCTATAGGGGAAAAGTTTTAGCAGTTTTAACCAGCTGTGAACCCCAAGAACGACAATACCATAATCTACCAGGCACAAAGTGCCCACCTGTGTACTAACATCACAACTGTTTTAAGAGTGACCAGCTGCTCTCTAATTGGATTTGAAGGCCACTCCCCAGGAGGAAATTCATGCCTGGTACTGCCAATCCAATTAAAAGCCCATGGGTAAGGAGGATTGACCCCAGGGGTGAACTGACTGTTCTGCAGCTAAATTGACATGGCTCCAAATTGCCTTCTCACTATTTGTTTATACCCATAGACAAATGCTGCTCTCAGCCTCTGGCAAAAAGTTTCTTTAGAATGAATGGCAATGAATGCAGAAGCTCATAGCTGAGTGAGCAATGGTTGAATGTTCAACTCTATCAGGACATTTGCACCAACTCGGCTAAAGCTCAGGGAACATCACAGAAGACAGAAGCTAGGGAGGACGACTACAAAATTCTGTCCTCTGGGCATGACACAGCCACTGCAAGACTGATCTCATAGATGCCATGGCTGCCTGGACATGGCCTTTACAGGACTTGGCCTTGAATCATCAATTATGGATCCAGGAATGGCTCATGGGACCCTATTCCTCACTGCTGAATCGTGGGCTGCTGATAGATTCTGGGGGAGGGTCAGTCGCATCACCAGTGAGTCCCTCAACCTCCAACAGGTAGGTCCAAACCCATTCAGTAAGAACAACCTAGTGGGTCACAAAACAAAAATACATGAATGTGCTAGGGTTTCACAGGGAGGGAGGTGCTGACAGGGGTAGGAGGGGGTGAAAGAGGATGGGAGGTGAAAGTAATCATAATTCATTATTTACACATAAAAAAAATTATCAAAGAACAAATTTAACCTTTTAAAAGTGACTGGGAGTGTACCTACAGGAGCACACAGAGATGCACCCATGGGCCATCTATAAAATTCTAGTTTCTGGGGCTGGAGAGATGGCTCAGGGGTAAAGAACACTAGCTGTTCTTACAGAAGACCTGGGTTTGAAACCCAGCACCCACATGGAGGCTAACAATTGTCCATAACTCTAGTTCCAAGGAATCCAACGGTCTCTTCTGTACTCCACAGGCATTGCACGACATGGGTGCACTTACATACATGCAGGCAATACATACGTACACATTAAATAAAAATAACAAAGTATTTTTAATAAGGTTCTAGTTTCTGTGTAGAGAAGATAACAGCTTATTGACAGGCTGAAGCTCCAATGTCATCAGTTTTCTAGCACTTTCTGCATAGCAGGTGATGCAGACTTCATTAGATATCCCCACCCTTGTTCTGTCAATACTCTCTGCCTACCTCCAATGCAGCATCCAAAAACTACCGAAATATCTATGTCTTCTGAAATGCCAAACACATTGACTAAGAAAGCTTAGGGTGGTGCTCATGTTTAAGGTGAAATGCTCAAAGGTGAATTTTCTGTTTTCACAGGACACATGTTGAAGGGCAAGCTTGAATCTAAAGGGGGTAATTGGATATGTGAAACAGTCTCCTGAGTTCGCATGCCACTGAAGTAGAAACAGTTTCTGTGGTGGTTTGAATGACAATGTCCATAGGCTCCAAATATTTGGGCATTTTGTCCCCAGTTGGAGAAGCTGTTTTGGGAAGTCTTAGAGAGTTCTTAAATCTTGCTGATTTCCCAGCCTGCTCTGCTTCCATGCCTGCTTGAAGATGTGAGAGCCCTCCTCTTTCTGCTCTGGCCACCCCTAGCACCATGCCTCCCCACCATGATGGACTCTGATTCCTCCGGAACCATAAACTCTTCCTTTTATAAGTTTCCTTGGTCACAGTGTTTTATCACAGCAACAGAAAAGAAACTAAAACAGCTTCTATTGGAAAACAGACTTGTTAGTGTCCTAGCTATTAATTACGTGACCATTGAAAACATCTTCAACCTGTATACTTCTCAGTTTCTGAAAATGACCAGAGGAAATGGAAATAATTTGATGTATTTAACAGATTGTATTTAACAGACAATATATTGTTTCTTTGACCTTTTGTCTATTCAAATAAAAGTATTTTCTAGAATAGCTATTTTTCGACTTTCCCTCTGCATGCATACTACTCTATTTGCTAAAATTAAAATATTTACTTTAAATTTACTATGGTTTGCTGTATTAGATATAAATATATATATATATATTTGAGTATTTATATATATATAATTCATACATATTTATAAACAAGATATATATATATCAATTCTTTTCATAATAATTTTTCAAAAGTGATTAAAAACTCAAAAATTGAATGCTAAGACTGGAGTAATACATAGTTTAATAACTGCATGTCTTTCAAGCATGAGGATTTGAGTTTGGTCTGCAAAACTCACCAGAAAAGGATCAGGCATGGTGGCATGCACTTGTAATTTCAGCACTGGGGATCCAGGGGCAAGCACAGCCCTGTGGCTCCCTGAGTCTAACCTACTTGGTGAATTCCAGGCCAGTGGGAAACTCTGTCTCTAAAGACTAAGTGGACAGTTCCTGAGGAAAGATAGTAGCCAAGGTTGTCCTCTGACATCCACACATGCAGACACATGTTTTACCTGCACAACATAAAAGCACATACACACACATACACAAACACACACAAAATGAACTCTAATACGATTTGGCTGGCTACATTTTGCTGAAGCATCTCAAAATAAAATTTGGGTTAAAATACAAAATTGTATCTATTGGCAATTGATAGCTGGAGAGAGGAGAGAGAGAGAGAGAGAGAGAGAGAGAGAGAGAGAGAGAGAGAAATCTTTACTGGTGTGACACCTGGTAGGTTGACCAGACTCTAAATATGGTCCCACACACAACAGCATTTGGGGAACACAAACTAGACTAGATAGGTCTTTTAAATAGAAAAATGGTAACAGAGGTCATGACATTGTGGAGGGATTGGAAATTGTAGAGGGGGCTGAATGTGAAAATACATTGTGTGAGTGTCTCAAAGAATCAGGAAAACTATTTCATTTTTTAAAAAATACAGAATCAAGCAACAACTCAGAACTTGGTTTCACATATATTATGAAGCTCAGCGACCATGGAAATTCATTGCAATTACCAATACTGACTTGGGAATATGTCTACATATTAAATAAGGAGAAAATACATTCTTGTCATTTTGTAAAGTTACAGAAATTCCATTTCAAAGCAAAGTAGGTCTGTTCTCACAAAAATCCATCAAAGATTTTGCTAGAGATGAAGTCTTGTCAGTATGTAGGAGTATCATTTGATTTATGAGGTCATACTCTGAAAGTATCATAAGGATTACACTGTTGGAACAGGATTTTGTTATGTCACCGTGGTTCACCTGAAATTCACTATGTAGAACAAAATGGCCTGGAACTCACAGCAACCCTCTTGCCTCTGTCTCCCGAGTGTGAGAAACACAGGCATGAGTCACCATGCGCAGCTTCTTACATTCTAAAATGCATAAAAATAGTGTGCTGTTGATGGTGCACAGCATGATGTTTTGGCTGAATTTTGAATGTCTAGATTAAGCTATTTAATACATGGATTATCTCGAATATTTATTATATTTTTAGTGAGAACCTGTGAAACCTATTCTCAGAAAATTTCAAGTATACACTTCAGAATAGCTAACTGTATTTACCACTGAATATCCAGACACTAATCACTAAATATCCAGAACTTACTCGTCTTATAACCAGAGAGTTACAACCAAAATCATGCCATGCTTCTCTGTTTTTGCAAGTTTGACATTTTCACATTCCACACATAAATGAGATCTTATACCAGTCTTTCTGCATATAGTATACTTCACTTAATATAGTGTCTTCCAAATTCATCCATCTTATCACAAATGGCAGAATTACATTCTTCACAAGGCTTAGTAGCTTACCATTGAGTAAATCGTATACCATGTTGGTTGACCAACACGACACATGTCTGCAACTCTTTTAGCCACTTTCAGCAAGAAATAACAACATGACACAGTAATAGGTAAAGGGAGGTAAGTGAAAGGGAACATATTACCTTCCTAAAAATGAAGGCAAAGTTTCTCAGTAAGATTTTATCATGTTCATTAATGAAACATGACTGAGATGTTGGTCACACTCAGTAACCACTTTGCAACCCTGAGTGTACAAGTGACAAAAAAAAAAAGAGTGAGAACAAGATCGTTGAGGGTCATTATGCCCTAATTTACTTACTCCAAAATTTAATTTTTATGTGCATGTGTATATGTGTATATGTGCACAGAAGCATACCTGTGCGAGCACAGGTACATGTGTGTGAATGTGCGTGTGCGGAGCAGAGAATGACTTCAGCTATGGCTCCTCAGATGCCTTCCACTGTATTTTGTCATTGCTGTTGCTCGTTTTTAAAGGCAGGGTTTCTCACGCACCTAACACTTGCTGAGGAAGCTAGACTGGCTGGCCAAGGAGCTCCAGAGATCACCTATCCAGTAAAAATGTGTGCCACCACAGCCAGGTTTTTAATGATGGGTTGGGAGTGGCTGTAGTTCATTTGGTTGGTTGGTTTTGTTTTATAAGAACTCAGGTTCTTGTGCTTGTCAGGCCAACACTTTACCAACTAAGCCATCTCCCTAGCCCTCCACGATTTATTTTATTTATTTCAAAACACATTAGCTTTTTAATTATTATATTTCAAAACTCCAATAATTAATGATGATATTGATACAAAGAAATAGAGCCTTCATAGTGAATAAATTATTTTATTCATAAATGCTATATTTAATCCATGGTTTATACATAGTTCTGTAGTTCTCAGGACAGCTACAACATAGGCACAAAGATAAAGTTCTAAGGATTTTAAACTTTAATATTGAACACACTAAAATATTTTACCAGATATGATGGGGCCACTCATTCTATAACAGGAACAAAAATTTTGATGTATTTTCACCATCCCAACAGACAATAGTCAGTGGTTTCTTTGGTTTGAGGTAAATAGTAGTGGAGATTCCAGTTGAACTTGCTTTTGGAGTGTTGAGAGACAGAACAAAGGAACTGCGGTGAGGACTAGCAAGAAGAGTAGCATTTTCTGTAGCAAGATGGTCTGTAGCTACAGCAGCCAGATCCGTACCCACAGCCGTACCTGGAACCATAGCCATATCCACAGCCAGAGCCGTATCCACAGCTGTACCTGGAACCATATCCACAGCCGTATCCGCAGCCAGAGCTGTATCCACAGCCGTGCCTGGAACCATATCCACAGCCACAGCCATAGCCATATCGTGAACCATAGCCACAGCCAGAGCCAGAGCCACAGCCAGAGCCATATCCACAGCCAGAGCCGTATCCACAGCCAGAGCCATATCCATAGCCAGAGCTGTATCCACAACCTCCACAGGAGTTTCCGTAGTAGTTGCAGCACATGGTGTTGAGAGCTGAGGATTCAGTTGAGAGGTAGAAAGATCTTTCTGAAGTGTGACTATCACCCAGCCTCTGCAGAGCTTTATATACTTACAGGGACTGATGGCTCATGTCTCACATGGGCTCTGTTGTCTCAGTTTACAGCATGTGCCTAAAATGAGCTCACTCCGTGAGCACTTTGTTAGGAATTCATAATTTACTTATTACTTCTTTGGGAACTTAGACAAGCATTCAAGGAAGTAAAGGTATGTTTTCTGAACACTCAAACTTATCCACCATAATATATTCTGCATAATTTCATTTTATAACTATGACATAACAGAAAACATCACAAAATATGTGACCTACAAGTGTTTGTCATTCCATCCCATCTTGGACATCTGATTTCACGCTATTAATAATCAGGAGCATCAGGAGCAGGAGCTGCACTGTGGTTTCTTTCTCTCCTCTGATTTTGTTTTCCACGCAAATATTTTTTCCAGAGATTTCAGACAAAGAATTGTGTTTTAATCTACCACAACTCCTTTTTAATCTCTCTTTTCTCTGAAGAAAAACTTTTCATCTGTCTTTTGGGTAAAACACTCCCCATTTTTCTCATTTGAGGTATTTTATTAAACTTTTTATACATCAGTTAATGAGTATATTTCGCTCATATATTTTAAGAGGCAAATGATCCAAGAGTTTCAACTTGGAAGGTTGAACATTTCTGGGTTCCCTAATTTCTGGGTTCTGAAAGTCCTTATTCCAAATAAGTCTAAATTTTATAGACAGTTCAGTTTTTTATATTACTCATTCCTTATTCAGGTTTGTGCAGTTGAACACTTCCCTCTAAATTATGAATAATCAATAATGAATACTCCAAATGAGTGGAATGTATGTGTAAATCACAGATTTTAATCAAAGGGTACACAATTATATTTAGAAGCAATGTAATTTGTGTCTTATTTCAGGGAATGTGATTGTAGTAAATGATCATGGACTTTATTTTTAGACACCTCTAGATGACAGTTTTAGGCCATGAGAAGGGTATTTCTGAAATGTGCATGTCATCCAGTCTCCATAAATAGGCATACTTTAACATGAGATCACTATGCCCTTCTTAAATCATATGTCTAAAAGCTGTTCCTTCCAGCATTTCGATACTGTTGGGCTTCTGTAAAATTACTTGCTTTCATGCTAAGCTCTTCTTTGAATTTCCCCTATTTGGAGCCTCATCAGAGCCTTCTTTATCCTACATTTTTGCCTCTTTTTCGTACACTGTAAATGTTGTGCACTACCACTGATCAGCTGTCATATGCATACAAATAACTCTCAAATATAAAATCTTTGAATAATTCTAGGTCTAGTGAGGAGACACAAGGCACAGATTCAGGCAAGTGAGGGAAAATTAAATAAAAAAAGTGTTAGACCATGAAAGAGAGCAGCTCAAATATGGGGATAAATGTGGTGATCTAAGACAAAGGGAAAATGCTTAGGGGAGGAAAATCTTAGAAGTAGCATTGTTACTGCTGAAAAAATAGATTGAACTTGTGCTGAGCAACACTGAATTAGGGGTGTTGAAATCTATGGAGAGAGAACTACCATGCTGAATGTTCCTGTCATGTTAAAGAAAGCAGAATGAGGAAACATAGCAGGGATGAATAAGTTGCTATCTTGATTGTGGTGACAGATTCATATGTGTAAGCTATTTCCAAAGTCAGGAATTTATATGCATTACATTCTTGTATTTTATATATGAGTTATTCTCCATGAAGCTGATGAACAAATACATTAACAAGCAGACAAATAAATCATGCTATTTAATTATTGGATAAGCAGGACTAAACCACTAGAACACAGTGATGATTATCAGCAAGGGTTATAGACAGGCATAAGGTCTGGCAATGCTTGGAAGCAGAGATACGATGGTGAAGGAAGAAAGAACAGCTTCACAGGTTATTTGATCTGTATATACGGTTAGGAGACTACCTACCTACAGAGACTGGAGTATGAAAAGTTATTAAAGATAGTAGTTTCTGTCAATGGATGACAATGGTGATTGCCAGATTCAAGCATGTATCCCTTTCTACAACAAAGCTGAATAGGCTTCACCAGATATCTTCAAAATCATTCCACCAATGCCTTCTCCTTCCACCCACTTTTGTGGCCAAAAATACCAAGAATAACCAGTAGTTACTCCACCCACACCCATGTCTACCCTCCACTGAGAAAACTCCAAACTGAGCACTCATGCAAGACACAATGCTCAAAGGCATCTCATTCATTATCAGAGCATGTACTGCTGGGAGAATTTGAAGCTGGAAGGCAGTAGTTAACTGGTACAGTTGCTCTTCCATGTTATAGAATCTCTGTGGTTGAACCAGTTTCCCCTAGAAAAATAGATATCTTGTTTTCCTGGCTGAGACTTCTACTATTATGTTACCAGGGGAAATGTCCTCAATCTATAGGAACTTCAGTTTCTGCAATTGCTAAATGAGGTTAAAAAATTTTATGGATTATAAGGTCCATTGAAAACACATAGAAGGATAAAAGACAGTTTATATTCTTATATACATTTTATAGACTATATTCTGATTCTGTATTCTCTTTCCTTTTTCCAAGTATAAGTATTACCAAGCAGAAACACTATTTCAATTTATCTATGTATCTGTATTGATATAGTTATCTAGTAACCATTTAAGTTTATTTTAATGTTGCTAATATTTCATTTATGACATATATGTAAATTTACTTTAAAACCTAATATACTATTTATCTTGCATGTAATGTGATTATATAAATATCTTGAGAAATTTTCAAAAATAATCAGGTTCCCTGATAAAATGAATAAGGAGTTATTGATTCCATTGCCATTCATCTAATCATTTATGTAACAAAGTGTTTGTAAAAATTTGAAATTAAGCATGTCATAGGGTCTAGTATTATGCCATACTTTGAAGTTTAATAACTAGAAAAAAATCCATTAAAATTGCAAACATCTGGCTTCAGCACACACTATATATTAAATGAGATAAAAATAAGTTTTGCATTTATGCATAGTCTTAGGATGTTATGGAAAAATGAGGTCAGACTTTGTTTTTACATGTGAGCATTGAAGATTGCAGTGGTAATGACTAATGTCTCATTATGAAATGGCCCCCTTGAGATCATATCATGAAAGAAAAATGAGAATCAGGCTGATAAGCAAATGTAGGTCATATCTATATTCTTTCCATATTGAAATAACTATACTTGAAATTATCAGTAAACTAGAATATGTTTCCAGGGTATGATGTGTTGTGTGTATAGAGTGGAGTGACTTGAGTAACCAACAGATACTTTTCCTGGAATATTTATCATTTTTATATCAACACAAAATATTTATTATCTAGGTAAATTTCTACTAAACAATTCAAAATTATTAAGTGCATTTACCATACTATAAGTCACCAAAAATATTAACGTGGATATCAAAGTTTTGCTCCACTGGCAAGCCCTACAACATTCTATTTCTATGTATGAGACTGTCTTTTTCCCCTTAATTGCTCATGTACATGTGATATTTGTCTCTATGGCCATGGTTTACTGTCCCAGAACATAACATCTTACAGGTTTATCCATGTTATCCAAACAACAGGAAATGCTTTTTCTTACAGCTTAGTTTTATCTCAGGTTTTCCTAACCTAGACACCTGCTCATAGAAAGTGAGGCTCATTCCAGCTACGGTTATTTGCACCATAGCACAATGAACATGAGATTGTGAATTTATCTTTACCATAACGATTTTACACCTTTGGATGCATACCAATAAGTGAGAAAACTGAGTCATACTTTAATTATACTTTTAATAGCTTTGGAACACCTGAACTGTTTTCCCTCATAGTTGTAATAATTTCCACCCAGGCAACTCTTTGGAAGGGTCTTCTTTTTAAATTTATGTTAAATTTATATTGTATTTAATTGCTGGGTGAGAAAATCATGCTGAGTACTGACTTATATCTGCTGATTATCTCTATATTTTCTACTCAGAAATGTATATTCCAATAAATTCAATTTTACATGATATTATTTTGATTTAAACTCCATATATATTTCAGATCCTTATGTCTCATTATTTGGTTTGGCTTGGTTTGGGGGTTCTTGGTACAAGACCAGCAAATAACCTAGACTAACTGCAAACATGTGGTAATCTTCCTGCATCAGTTTCTTGAGTGCTGGAATCAAGGGGCACATCACTTGCAGCTAAACCTCCCGCTCTTTAGGTTTCTCTTTATGGACTATTTTCTTTGCTATGTAAATGTTTTTTAATTTAATCCTCCTATCTTTGTTGCACGCACACTTGGAGGCATATCCTAAAACTGATGACCAAATCTATCATCCTGGAGCTCCCACCCTGTTTTGTTTTTTTTTCCCCGCATGGCTTTATGCTTCTATATTTTACATTTGTCTGAAAAATCATTTTGAGTTGATTTTTGTGTATGGTGAGAGATAAAGGCTTAATAACATTTTTCTGTTGGTGAATATCAGTTTTCCTAGAGTCATTTAATGAAGACTCTGTCCATTCCTTGTGTGTACTCCTGCCATCTTTGAAAAAGAGCAGGTAGCTTTAAACCTGAGGATGTGCTCTGGACTCTGTTCTCATACATCACTGTGGGTGTTTCCTTGGTGCCAGTACAGTTCCGTTTTTATTACTAAAGACTTGTAGTGGACTTTCAGATCAAGTAGTATGATACTTCTAGCTTTGGTGTTTTGACTTTTAGCTATTCAAAGTCTTTTGCATTTTCATAAGATTTGTTGGCTTATCCTGTTGTCAATATTGTTTTAAATTACTTGTAAAATTTTGATAGAAATTATAAGGCATCTATAGCTATGTTGATTTGTGTAGATATTTTAACAATATCAATTCTTTCAATATATGATCATAACATATCCACTCATTTGTGTCTTCAAATACTTATAATCAATAATGTATAGATGTAACTATTTCAGATATCTCATCTCTTCAAATTTATCCCATTATTTCATTTCAATTTTTCATCTATTATTTATAATGTT